AAAGGGCCCCGCGGCTCCCCTCGGCTGGCGGAGGAGCGGTGGAAAACCCAGTGGAGTTCCCGGGTCGGACCTGGCGGCTGGGCCTGGGCGAAGCGCGTCGCTGTCGCTCGCACGTGACTGCCCGGAGCAGAAAGATGGCATTAGCGGAAAACCCACCCGAGCAGCGGGACCCAGGCCGGCGCGTGCTGTCGCCCCAGGGGGCTGCGCCCGCCTGCTTAGCGCGCGTTGGCGCTCGGCCTGTCCTTTGAGACCTGGAAGTGCATCGAGCACCCGGTCTTCGAGCTCCGACTCGGGCCCCTGGGCGCTGGCCACGTCTCCGGGCTTCCGCAGGAGGCGCCGCGTAAATCTGAGTTTTCCTGCAGATCAGGGCCCCTGCGAGGGGCACCGCACGGCTGCCGAATTCGGGCGGGACAGCCCGGAGCCCGAGGTAGGGGCGGAGACTCGAACGTAGCTGCCGGTCCGCCCCGCAGGCCGACGAGTTCCGCGGCAAGCCGGGTTTGCGTCTTCCGCCGCGGGCGCAGGTGCCGGTAGGACCCAGCCCCCCACCTGCTCCGCAAAGTTCCCTCCGGAAGGGAATCCCCGCGCCGCCCACACCCGAGCGTGCCCAGCCAGACTCCGGGCCCGGGAAGGAGGTTCCCCAGAGGGCGACGGTGGATCTTGCCTTCCAGGGCGGAGGAGGAGCCCCTGCGGCCGGGAGGGCCGGGCTACCGCCTGCTGACCTCAACAGCTGTGGGAAAGAGCCCTCTTCACCGGGGAACTTGCCCAAAGTCACGCTGCGGGTTGGATTTGAATCCGGATTGTTTCAGCACCACGAGGAAGACAATATGAAAACCAGAGAAAGAAAGCAAAATGTAAAATGAATAAAATAGCCACAGTATTATTACGGAATACAACTTCTCACGCGTAAAAACCTTCCACACACATGCACGTCTGTACGTTACCACCATGCAATTTCGTTTGTTCACTCTTACACCAGTATTTTTCCTGTGTTCACACGATTCTTCTTTAAGATACAAGTGTCTGTATCCCTTCAGTCCGTCCTCAAATAAATTACACTTTGGTTCTTTACTGTGCCCTAACATTTCCTTGAAGTTCTGCACTTGGGGCAAATTCCCAGGAATGGAAAGGCTCCCAGGTGGAAGGCTGCGAATAGCCAGTGGCCTTGCCCTGCGGTACCAAAGCTCTCCCAGAGAACTGCACCGATTAGTCCACCGTCTCCAAGGAACGAATGGAAGGAGCTTAATTCACAGGTCTGAGCATGGAGTGCGCTCTTTTAAGTCCGTCCTTTAATAGTGTGTATTGCTAATTCAAGGATACTTAACATTTCCTCGGTGGCTACACATTCAACCATGAATGCTTTCCTGAGCATTGACTGGTTTTCTTCCCCGGGAATGATCTCTTCTGTACATTGGTTAGGGACTTGAACATTTTTTTTTTCTTTTTTCATTTGCCAGAAGGTGCATGCGCTTACAGGAGAGAGACAGAGGATGAGGGCGGGTAGTGAGAAAGCACCCCTCATGAAGAATGGTACCCTACAATCCTATCTCCTCCTTTTGGGGTTTTGGGCACACACACACAGGTGCCCGGTGTATTTTTCAAGCCACCAGGTCCAGGGCTGAAACAATATGGTCAATCATACAAGATCGAGTCACTTTAACCTCCAGCCACTCTCTGGCCTGTCTTCTGACTGAACAAGCGTTGTCTAGATTCAAGATGGTATTTACTCCTTTGTCATCATTGATGTGCTGTCTCCCAGCCCGTTCATTTTTATTTTAGTCTAGTGTTCAATCTGATTCTAGTCCTTCGTGATTTTTTTTTTTAATCACTCCAGTGCTGACAAAGTGAGCTTCCTCCCACCCATCCAAGAATCTATACTCGGCTGGTTTCGTGCAGTATCATTTCATATTTCATTCTGTGATGAGTACCTCTCCCGATGTAGTTTGCTTTCTTTTGGAATAAGGTGTGGGTTTAACGCACCACCGCCACCACTGTCACCAGTTGTCATTGTTTATGCAGTCACTGCCTATGAAAGAATTCTTCCTTTACACTTTGTTTAGGAACAGGTGTGCCGGCCTTCGGTTTTGGTTGATACATTGCTGAATTCATTTCCTTCCATAGACCTCAGTGGGAACAAATACCACATGAATCTAAATATCGGTTCTTCGGAATAGGTTCTAACCTCTGACGAGGCTTCATTTCCCCTCATCAGGCCTTCTTTCAGAACAGCACTTGATCCTCACACTGGTTTCTGTGCCAAACACTTTTAAGATAACGATGTAAGGGCTAAGAGCACCGGCCTTCAGTCGTAGACCATCGTTCAATACGAGCAGTCTCGGGCTTGGCCATTATTTATCCTCTCTAGGCCTGATGATCTTGGTCTGTGAGATACTGGGTTTATGAGATGCTGATAAGAATAACACCTGCAGGAGCTGGCAGGTGGCATGCGATTTGGGGCGCTGGACTCCCACATGGCTGATAGTGGTTCAAATCCTGGACCTGGCAGCTTTTTCTCACTTTCCCTGTCTCTCTCTCTCTCTCTCTTTCCCCTCAAATTAAAATAAATAGGGAAACCTTTAAAAAAATAAATAAATAACACCTGCAGGGAGGAGGTAGAAGGAAGCAGATGGCATAGCAGTTACGTCACTGGGCTCCCACATGGCTGATATGGTTCAAGTTCCAGACCAGGCGGCTTGGAACTCATGCCAGGTGCATGTGCATGCATGCCCAAAATCTCAAGAGGAGAATGAAGGAGAAGGGATTGTGGCATGACCATCCCCCAGCGGGTGATTTCTCACTTTCCCTCTCTCTGTCTCTCTGTCTCTCTCTTTCTCCTCCTGGCGAGCACACACACCCTAACGCAGAAACCTCTAAAAACAACACCGGTGGGCCAGCAGGCGGTGCAGTGGCTAAGGTGCCAGACTCTTCAGTGCTAGACCTTGGTTCAAGTCCTAGACCTGGCAGCTCCCTTTCTTACTTTCCCTCTCTCTCTGGTGAGTGTGTGCACCCTAGAGCAAAATTTAAAAAATATATATAGTAATAATAAATAAAATTAAGTAAGTCATTCTTTAAAAAAATAAGGGGCTAGCAGGTGGCATAGTGGTTGGGGTACTAGACTCCCACATGCTAACTGCGGTTGGAGTCTCAGACCTGGTGGTTTGCTTTCTTACTTTCTCTCTCTTTCTCTGGGGAGCACACATGTCCTGTAGCAAATTGAAAAATCATGATAAATAAATAAATAAACCTTTAGGGTCTGGCAAGTGGTGTGGTAGTTAAGGGCGCTGGACTCCCACATGGCTGACTACAGTCCAAGTCCTGGACCTGGTGGCTTGCTTTTTCACTTTCCCTCTCTCTCTCTGTCCTTCTCTGGTCAAATTTAAATAAATAAATATATAAAGTTAAATAACATAATTCCTAAACAAACAAACAAACAAAAAAACCTTAAGTAAGAAAAAAAAATCCTTTATAAATAATTTTTTAAAATAATTATTTACTTAATTTTATTATTATCTTAATTTGACTAGAGATAGAGTGGAAGAATTTCTCCCTCATTGAGTTTTCTTTCAGAAAGAAAGGGAAGGTGAAAAAGCTAGCCACCAGGTTTGGACTCAAACTGTGGTCCACCAAGTGGGAGTCCAGCACCTTAACCACCACACCACCTGCCAACTCCTAAAAAATAATTTTTTAAAAAATCACAAGAAATAGATAAATAAATGTTTAGAAATAAAAAAATAATAACCCCTGCTTTATAAACTCGATGCCTACCACAAAGTGAAGGCTCAGTGTCAGCTGTTGTTGTTAATAATATATTTAGTTCCAGTGAAAAATGGAAAGCCTGCATGGAGCTGCATTAATTAGTTAAAACAGGGGCCGGCAGGTGGCGTGGTGGCTAAGAGCACTGGACTCCCACATGGCCGACCATGGTTCTAGTCCTGGACCTGGCAGCTTGCTTTCT